AAATTAGCTGGACGTGGGGGTAAGTCCTGAGCCTGAAATCCCAGCTACTCGGGAGGCTGAGGCACAAGAATTGCTTGAACCCGGGAAGTGGAGGTTGCGGTGAGCCAAGATCACATCACTGCACTCCAGCCTGGGTGACAGAGCAAGACTCCGTCTCAAAAAAAAAAAAAAATCGTTTGGCCCTCAAGGACAAGAGGACACTTTCTAAGTCCACGGAGCCGGCCAAGCTCAGGCAGTGGGTTAATCTCCAGAAAGATAAAAATGAGCCTCTCGGCCCGTGGGGGTGAGGTCCCTTCTGTCTGGAGACAGGCATTCAAGGCCGGAGTCTCTACGCGTTCAAAAATAGATTCCCAAGTGTATTCATTCATTGCCTCGTGCCTGCCAAGGGAAAGTATTTCCAAAGTTAGCTTTGAGGTTGCTATTACAGAGCAAAATGTCCGTTCTTTTAGTTTCCCGTGTGCGTTTCGTGCGCTCTGCTCAGTGCAGATGGCCGCGGACTTGGCAAGTGACGGTCCGTCCTGAGAGCTTAGCAGCGTTTTAAAGGACTGAAGAGACTTTTGGTCGTCGCTCAAAGCGTAATTTCACAGCGCCTGAAGCTGCCGCGCTGCCACGAGTAGAAACATCTAGTTGTGGGCTTCAGAAAAGTGTTTTGTCTCCTTTTACAGTTTTTTAGAGACGGGGTCTCACCCTGTGACCCAGGCCGGAGTGCAGGGGCGCGATCATAGCTCACTGAGGTCTCCCACTCCTGAGTAGCCGGGACTGCAGGGAGCGCCACCGCGTCTGGCTAATTTTTTATTTAATTAATTTGTTTGTTTGTTTATTTATTTTTGAGATGGAGTCTCGCTCTGTCGCCCAGACTGAAGTGCAGTGGCTCCATCTCGCCTCACCCAATCTCCGCCTCCCGGGTTCAAGTGATTCTCCTGCTTCAGCCTCCCGAGGAGCTGGGATTAGAGGCGTGCACCACCACGCCCAGCTAATTTTGGTATTTTTAGTAAAGATGGGGTTTCACCGTGTTGGCCAGGCTGGTCTCCAACTCCTGACCTCGTGATCCTCCCGCCTCGGCCTCCCAAAGTGCTGGGATGACAGGCATGAGCCACCACACCTGGCCAACTTTTTTATTTTTTGTGGAGATGACGTCTCAACATGTTGCCCAGGCTGGACTTGAACTGGTCTCAAGTGATCCTCCCACCTCGACCTCCCAAAGAGCTGGGATCCACCATGCCTGGCTGGCTATTTTCCTTTCCATAAAAGTATTATTTCCTTGATACTGACTTGGTCACTTGAGAAAGCTGTACGAATGTTTTGGTTTGAGAGCAATGGAGGCTACGCCCCATCCACCGCAGTGGTGAGGTCAGGCTCACGGTGCTAAGATGCTGATGGCAGTGGCCCATCTAGAGTGGCTTCTGGCAGGATGCCGGCGGCAGCGGGGAGGCGTGGCTGGGCCTCCCACTCCATGGGTCAGGTAGGAGCTCAGCCCTCCCTGGATGCTGCTGCAGCTTCCCTGGCGCAGCTCCAGACGTGGACATGTCTATGCCCTTGGGGGCCTGGGAAGGCCCCTGCCCTTCGAGGGGTTAGAAGTGCCTGCCCCCGCCACCTCGCTCCTCCTCACTCCCCGTGCCTGTTCCAGTCATGGAGCAAGGTTGGGGCCAAGCCCAGGTGCTGTTGCAGACCACCGGGTGGGTGCACACTTGGGGCAGCCCTGACATGCCAGCCCCCCGGCCTCAGCCCCCTCTGGACTTTGGGCGCTGTTGAACATGGGAGGGAAGCCGAGGGGGCTGAGGGTGTCTGCAGGCAGCCCTTGGCACAAACACAGCTGGGTGCCGTGAATGACGGGGAGGCAGACAGGCTCCTGGGTGCAAGGGGGCAGGTTCCCGGGGAAGCCACCCCATGGAGGGGGCCTGGGGCCCAGGCTGCCAGTCCTGCGACTGGAAGGGAACTCATGGTGCTTTTACTGTCAGAGTGGGGAGGGAGCCCAGGCTGCCTGTGGACCAACTGGCATGTGCTTCGCACCCCAAGACCATAAAAACCCCAGACTCAGCTGGGGCAGCCCGGACGTCCGGACGCTGCAGAGAGCTACCCTCTCTACCGAGAGCTGAACGCTGGCCGGGATGCCCTGCCTGTGGAGAGCAGCCACCCACCACAGACCTGCTCCAAGCTGTTCTGACGTTCAGGAAAGCTCTTCATTGAGCTCAGCCTCCACTTGTCTGCATACCTCATTCTTCCTGGACGCAGGACAAGAATTCAGCAGCCACAGAGGTTTCCAGCCAGAAAAGCAGCATCCCAGAGGTCCCGTGACAGTGCCCCATCAGTGCCTGTGCCCAGGAGAGAACAGAGGCAGAGACAGGAAGCTCACTCCGTGTGCCCACTGGGCCTGGCAGCAGACGTGTGGCCGGCCCAGGAGAGCCTCGTACTGTGAGGGTCAGAGGCCTGCTTGGGGGTCTGTCTGAGCCTCATCGGCAGGGCAGGTGGCATCTGCAGAGCGGGTGCTTCGGGCATTCTTAATGCTGCCGGCGTCTTCTGTCCTCTGAGTCACTCTCCTTGGATGGGGTGGCGTTTGCTCTGATGTTGGCCTTGTCTAATCTCCAAAGTGGCGATGGCCAGGCTCTGTGGACAGAGCGTGCCATTGAGCAGGAGACACTGGAGGCTGTGGAAAGCCTGGACGCCATGTCACTGGGGCTCTGGTGGGGACACTGTGGGAAGAGCCTCTGGAGTCCAGGAGGACCCGGGGGAGGAAGCAGAGGGCAGCTGGGGACGGGGGGTGATGGGAAGGTGCTGCACCGGCGTGCTCAGAGCAGGAGGGAGGGGCGTGCACGCGCTCACGAGGACGGGGCCCGGAGCTTCTGCAGTGCCCAGGCCTGCCTGAGGACGTGGGCAACCAGCTGTCAGAGCGAGCGGGAGGCCACCTGCAGCACCCCGGCTGCACCCTCGCTCTGCCCGACAGGAGACCGGGAGCTCGGCACGCCATCTCCTGGGGCGCAGGGGGCTTGCAGCCAAGTCCAAGGGGTCTAGACCCTTCGAGCGGACAGACGCCGCTGGAGACACGGGGCCCGGCAGCCTCATGTTTTCAGAGGAGGTGCTTCTGAGCACTCACTGGTTGTGTCGTGGGCTTCTCTGGAAGGAGCTGCAGAGGCCGAGCGCGCCGTGACGCTCCCAGGGCGAGGGCTGGTACCCACCTTGGCGCCGCCCCCCCCTCCGGCCTCTCAGCAGCTCTTCCCGTCAGAACGCTAACGCCCCGTTCAGCCACACGTGTCATCACACTTAGCGTCTGACCACACCTGGGGGTGATGCCCGGGCTTGTCCCTTCGAGGTTCAGTGCTCTGAGAGATGCTCTCAAGCAAATCCTCAAAGGCTTGTCATGTCTCCCCCTAAGCAGTGTGGGTTCCTGGGATTATCCGTGCCATCGTACCTATTTCCAGGAAGGCGGCGCTCCCGCCTGGCATTCTTCAGACCCTCAACCAAAACCCCCTTTCCACGTTCTCAGTGACAGACCCGGCGCTCGTCCAGACGTGCTAGAAGCGAACACAGGAGCTTCTTCTCAAAGAAGCAGAGCATTGGTGTCTGGGGGGTTGGGGAGAGGCGTTTATTTACTGCGGCCGGGCGCCGCAGCTCATGCCTGTAATCCCAGCACTTTGGGAGGCCGAAGTGGGAGGATCGCTTCAGCCTAGGAGGCCGGCCAGCCTGGGCAACACAGCCGTGCCCCGTCAGTTTGCCAGGTGTGCCGGCGTGCCCGTGAGCCCGGGGCGGGGGGCTGCAGTGAGCTCTGGTCTCACTACTGCACCGAGAGAGAGACCCTGTCTCAAAAAGTGTTTTTAATTGTAGTTTTTTTTTTTTTTTTTTGAGGCAGCTTCTCACTCTGTCACCCAGGCTGGAGTGCAATGGTGTGATCTCCGCTCACTGCAACCTCCACCTCCCAGGTTCAAGCAATTCACCTGCCTCAGCCTCTCAAGTAGCTGGGATTACAGGTGCCAGCCACCACGCCCGGCTAATTTTTGAATTTTTAGTAGAGATGGGGTTTCACCATGTTGACCAGGCTGGTCTCAAACTTCTGACCTCAAGTGATCCAGCTGCCTCAGCCTCCCAAAGTGCTGGGATTACAGGCGTGAGCCACTGTGCCCAGCCTTTATTAGTTTTTTATGTTAGAAGAAGTGTTCCTGGCATGATGGCCCATGCCTGCACTGCCGGCACTGGGAGGCTGAGGTGGGCAGATCACGTAAACTCAGGAGTTCAAGACCAGCCTGGGCAACATAGTGAAACCCTGTCTCTACAAAAAAATGCAAAAATTATCTGGCCACAGTGGCTCATGGCTGTAGCCGCAGCTACTCCCTTGAGCCTGGGCTGTGGAGGCTGCACTGAGCCTTGATCACGCCTCCACACTCCAGCCTGGACAGCAGAGAGAAAACTAAAAGAAGAAATGCATTCTCATTTTCTTTTTTCACTGACAGAAGGTTCCAGCCGGCCCATAATCTGCGCCCTGGGGGTCCCTGGCCGGCCGCGCAGGCCCCTCCCTGAGCCCGCGTGTCGCGGCTGGCGCCCTCACACAGCGAGAGCGGGTGTCCCACGCGGTGTCGCGCCTGTGCCCACTGCTCTGTCCCGGCGTGGCACCGCGGTCTCAGCGTTCCCAGACCTGCGGCCTTCGCCTGGTTCCCTTGGAAACAGAGCTGAGTTGGCACTCTGGGGCCTGCAGGCTTGGGGAGGACGTGGGCGGCAGGGACCAGCCCAGACCCGGGCAGCAAACCCACAGGCCTCGAGGTCACGTGTGGGTTCTGCAGTGCCCTTCGGGGCGCCCCGGCTCCAGGGCGATGGAGCCTGACCCCCACAGAGGCCGAGGCGGCTGAGGACAGGAGAGGCCGGGGGGCTCCCCTGCAGGTGGGCACCCGCCTTGTAAACCTGGAAGTCGCGCTGTTGGGAAACGCCTTTCTCCCCTGAAGTGAGCGTGTCCTGACTTCCAGCGCCCTTCGTTAGCGGCAGCCTCGGGCTGACGCCGTCTCACCCTCCCACAGGCATCGACTACAAGACGACCACCATCCTGCTGGACGGGCGGCGCGTGAAACTGCAGCTCTGGTGAGTCTGGAGGAGGCGCGAGCATCCCACGCTCCCAGCAGTAACCCCCTGGTTGGCACAGCACCCCCCGTCGGCACAGCACCCCAGGGAGCATCCTCCCCTACCACCATTGTCACAGCGTCCCAGGGAGCACCCCCAGCCGGCGCAGCACCCCGGGGCACCCCCAGCCAGGACAGCACCCCAGGGGGCACCTCCAGCCGGCACAGCACCCCAGGGTGCACCCCCAGCCAGGATAGCACCCCGAGGGCCACCCCCAGCCAGCAGAGCACCCCGGGAGCCACAGCCCCAGCCCCACTGAAGCAGGGCTTCTCTGAAGGAGGCGGTGGTCTGGTTGTCTGGGTCCCCATCATGCAGAGTAGGGGACCCCACGATGGACATAGCGTTGTGGCCGGGAAAGGGCTTTTGGGGTCAGAACCTGTGGCCTGGAGTTTGTGGGAAGATGCCAGGCAGGGACCAGTGCAGTGTGGTTGAGGCAGCCTGGCATTCCTGGGTCCCCCGCGCCACACCCAGCGATGCTACTGCATGCCCAGTAGGAAGCTCGGAGGGTCCTGGTGCCCGGGGGCTGTGATCTGGCCGGCGGGGGAGGAGCCAGACGTGGGGAGGTGAGGACTTGCTGGCTAGCCGGGACCATTGGCTCTGCTGTCTCAGATGTGAGAACCCAGCTCCCACCGGGGGCAAGCCCAGGGCCTCTCCCTCCGCAGCTCCCGGCTCTGGATGGGGGCGCCTGCGGCTTCTGCTCCGTAGGGCGGGGTGATGGGGGGCATCCCTCCCCCACAGCTGCCAGCCCTGTGTGACCCTCTCCGGGGCCTCCTGGCTCTTGCTGCCTGCGGGGCCCCTCCCAAGCCACATAGGCCTCCAGTTTCAGGACCTTCTCTGACCAGTACCCCCGCCCTGCCCCGTCCAGCGTGGCCAGTCTCAGGGAGCCTCTCTCCACCACATCCCCGAGCGCCGTGGCCCTTCTGGCTGCAGAGCTTCGTGCCTCCTGCCCGGCCGGGCCTCAAACCCCCACTCCTCCAGGGCCAGGCCCTCTCTGGGCGGCCTTTGGGGTCGCCATGAGCCCCCGTCCCACGCCACCTTCCCACGCCACCCTCCGCCAGCTGGGCATCTGCTGTCCCCTTCCGGCCCTGAGGCCTGCAGGCCCTGAGCTTTGTTCTCAGGTCTCCTCTCCCTCCCCAAGACCTCACACTCCTGCAGTCCCTGGCCCTCAGGGGCCCCACTCAGCCCACGCCCGTCCCGAGCTCGGTGCTCTCCTGAGGATCTGCCTGGCATCAGGCCTGGCGCGCACCCTCCCGAGCGCCACCCTGGCCTGGCTGTTCGCATTACCAAACGCCTCCCCGAACCCCCCGATCAGAAGAGTCACCCTCAGCACGATTCCCTCTGTCACCTCCAGGGTGAGATGCCAGGGGCTCCTGCCCGTGAGCAATCACCCGAGGCCCAGAGGACCCTGACTGCTCACACTTGGCACAGGTGTCAGCTCCGTCCACACTGTCCCCTGACACATTCCACCTTCCAGCTCCGTCCACACTGTCCCCTGATACACTCACACTGCACCTTCCAGCTCCGTCCACAC